CTACAATTTTTTATGTTACATAGTACTCGCACAGCAATTTTTCAAATGCAAATTTTAAAAAACAAATACACTTTTTTTACTTTTAATGCACAAAAACACAATATATTGGCCAATTATTTGATAAAATATAAAAGATGATGGTATGCCGAGTAAATATATGCCAAATATGACATGATTTAAAACTGCGCATGCCCTGTGAAATGGTGACAAAACTGCATACGGTTTTAATATCCAAAGGCAATGTTTTAAAAGCCTTTACAAGCTACCATTTTAGATTTACAGAGGAGGTCTAGTGTTAGAATTACTATCCTTAATCTGATGTTCACGGCGATAGCGCACATGCATGGTGCAATTGCTGTTTACATACCGGCACAGGGTCAACGTTTGCACACACAAGTGTGTGCGTGTAGGGGGCAAGGGTGCTTCTTTTTTTTTTTTTTAAGTTATTTTGATTTTTTTTATTATTTTTACACTGTCCCTTTCATTTTTTTTATCACTGTTAATGCTATCACAGGGAACGCAAATATACCCTATAAGGTCAATGGGCATTGTCATATATTCTTTTTGAGAAATCTGGGTTCTATCAGACTCTAGATATCTCCTCTGCCCTTAGATTATCTAATCAAACCAAGATCGATGTGATCAGATGCTTTCCCAATTTACAAATGGCGCTGTTTATATCCTGCAAAACTGAAGTGATGAAATGCTTGCGGCGTCCGATTTCTTAGACTATAGAGATCATTGGCACCATTCTGGTCTCCAATCAGCTCTATGGTCAGCTGGCAGAAACACCGGCAGCATTCTTAGGTTCCCCCGATGGCAGGGGACTGCCCGAGAAGGCCGTGGAAGGCAGCAGGGGAGGGGGCATCATCTCCCGCTGCTTGTAAAAGCAATCCTGCAGCTAATTAGCCACTAGGATTGATTTTACATGAAATCCAATTGCCGGCTGAAAAAAAAATGATACCAGGATGATGCCTGCAGCTATTGGCATCATCCTGGTATAACCATTCAAAGTCCAGGGATGTACCATGTACGTCTCTGATCCTTGTTGGGTATATTTGCTATGTTCTTTTTTTTTTTTTTGTTAGTCGTCTGTGGACTGAATGAAAAAAAGAGAAGAAATCTCTGCCAGAAAAAGTGTGTGGTATGCCCACCATTAGAATATACTGTCCTGCATCCACCCACTTCTAATGGTGGGCACACATTAGGTTGCACAGTGCTACATGCGCCAGTTCCAAGATTGTACAAATGTTTAAATAGTGGCATGCTTGAATAACAATTGGCCAAATATAAGTTGTACCCCATATGGAAAAGGGATGACACCAAGTCCCAAACTATCTTGCCACTACTCCCCATGTAGTCTGGGCATCCGGGGGGCTCCACTCGACTATATTTTCCTTTGTAAATTCGAAACTTATATGTATACCCTGTTGCCCTCTCACAGTTCTTCTACATCTTGACCCCATATCTGGCACGCTTGATGGGGAGAAATTGTTTGAATGCAAGGCGGCCAGAAAAATTAATGAGGGACTCATCAACGCAGATTTTTTGCTGGGGAGTATAGAGATCTGCAAATTTTTGGTTAAGGTGATTTACGAGGGGCTGAATTTTGTGGAGCTGGTCAAATGCAATTTTGTTGCTGAAATGCAAAAAAACACATTATACTCTCATATCTATTCCTGGCCATGGCAGCAGAGAACATGAGAATCGGGTCTGTGGACCAATACAATTTGGGTTAGCGGCTATAAATTGTTGTGCATTTAAAATGATTTGATCCACAATCAATGCATGCAGATATTCCTTGAAAAACAGCTTAAAAAAATTAAGGGGAGCAGTTAAATTTGCTGTTTCCACCTGAATTTTGGGTTGGGCAGTGAATAGGGGAAGTACGGGTCTCTGATGTTTTGGGATGAGAACACATTAGTCTGTCTGTGGATCCAGACATCTGGTAAGAAAAAGGAACTGCGGAAGAGGGCCTGTGGATCTGTGGAACCCGATGGAGTCTCCCCAGAGCTCTGTTCCCCATAGAAGCACAACCAGTGCATGGACCATGGATATGTTTTGATGTGTGTTGACACGTTCTTAGTTTGTCCTAAAGCATGTCACAAGCCACAACCAAGGCCACAGTTAAAAAGTTATTTTTTGAAGAAAGTTGTCTGTCACTACGTTATTCTTAAGGTTATAGACACTCACACTTTATAGATGAAATCATGACTAACATTTTTAAAAATAAAGTGTTATACATCCCTTACCATCTCAGAATAGCGGTAAGGTCAAAAAGGGTTAATAGAATAACAATAAAGAGATGAGCAAAACTTGAATTGGGTTTTTTTCCTAAAGTGTTATTAAACTATCACAACCACCCCAAATGTAAAGACAGAACTTTCTCTCTAAAGGATACTTTTTTGGTATGTTAATTTTCATAAACAATGCTTGTTCTGAACTATAATCTTTATTGTATGGTCAAACCCTTGGAGGACATGCACACGCTAATCTACTCTTCCATCCCAGACCCTTCCTCTATTACGGGACCTCACAGCCTGCAGCTCAGAGACCTTGTTTTAATCCAGAAACTTTCAGAAAAGTATGAGAAAATGCTTTGGAGGACTCAATCCAGTGCTAGTTACTGTAACAGGTTTGCAAAATGATTGCTGTGAATCTTAGGGATGGGTGTAGGAAACGATGGGGAAGTATTTTATTGTTTTCTGCTATATTTTATTTAGTTGTATACATTATCACTGTGTGTGGTTATGAAAGCTACAATGCATAATTTTATAGTATAAAATCGGGTGCAGGGCAGTGTCAGGACATTAATAGGAAGGCAACCTGACAAAACAGAAATTTGACATGTCATAAAGCCACTAACTAAAAAGATGCTTTTATTGCAGCTCAAATACAGACATGCCCAGAAAACGGACCATAGGCAATGCTGAATTTATAGCAAATTGCACCCTAGTATATTGAGAATTCCCCTTGTGGTAATACCAGTAAATGTCACATCCCTCTAGAATGGTACTCTACCTGTCAGTCAGTTTACTGAATTTGTCAGACAATGTTGTGAACCAATCAGTCCCCTTTTCAGTAATAGCCCCAGCTTATTTATGAACTTATTGGACAACACAGCAAATAGTTATTGGTCTCCTTTAAACCAAGTTAAGAAAGATTGCTGGTGATGGGCTGAATCCTTTTTAAAGGTCTAGGAGTTCTTGGTGATTTCTTTGCTAGCAGCATACAGTATTTTGTAGTTTACATTAGTAGAGCTGCTGATTTCATGGCAATTCTGCTTATGCTTTGAATTTAACTTGCAGAGATGTTGCTCATATGTCTGAATCTGTAAAGCCACAGTTCCTGCTGAAAATAAGCCAATTTTGTTGATGAAACACTCTCCCATGGAATAGAGGCAGTTTAAAACTGTTTCATGAAAGCTTCAAGGGGACAGAGCTTCTGCTTTCAAGACCAGGAAGTTTGCTGGCCATGGGTGGGCTCAATCAATAGTCCACCCACTGGAAAGTACCTTGGAGAACTGATAATGGACTAATAGTTGTCCAGGAATGGACAAAAAGGGCGGGTAAATGAGCAAGTTGGCCTTGCTCAGAGCTGTACTTTAGAGACTTTATTTTATATTTGTTATACCCATAGGGTTCTTTAAAGAATATTTTCTTCAGCTACATTCTCATAAGAAAAACTGAGATAACATTATTCCTAGGCGCATAGCCAGCTGTGACCTTGAATGCCTACTAAGACATCGAAGTGTATTGTCCAGCCAACTGACAGGTAATCTATTTGCTATCTCTAAGCTGTACTAAAGCTGTTGTAATTTTCTCAATAGACAAGAGCTCTTTCCTTGCAATAATTCTGTGTGCGTGTTTTTTTTTCTCCCTGTGCACAGTAAGGGGTTAGAAAATTTATCACAGTATATTCAGATTGCTTTTAATTTTAACACCAGAAAAGGAATACAAGAGTAACCTTCCCATCATCTATTGCAGTGCTAACTGTCTTCAAGGGAATTTTCTTACACTTTGGAGAGATTTCTTCTCATTCAATGGAGAGCAAAAAGCAGATAATTTGTTGCATTTGAACCACTTGCAGCCCCCACCTCATTACATTTATTACTACACTGGGGTGGCAGCAGTCATGTACATATATGTGATTCTGCCCATTCTGGCCTAGGAGAGAACCCCCTTGGGCTCACAGTGCACCCCTCACCTGGCTGTTGTGTCACTGGACACAGGGAATCACTGTTACTGGTAAGCAGGTATCATGTGATCAGTATGATTGGTCATAGCAATCACATGATATCAATGTAAACAACTTGTCATGACTGGCTTTCCATTCATGAACAGTTTACTGCTGTGATCTGTGATAGACCCACAGCAATCACATGGTACCTGGCTACCTGTACCATGTGGTTAACTGTAGCCAACCACAAGTCACAACCATAAGGAAACTGTTCATGAATGGGAAACTGTCAGGGAACGAGGAGCCAGACACAGAAGGAGGTGCTATTAAAGGTATGTTTATTAATATAAATATAAGACAAGATGTGGCTCACCTCATACTCCTCATGACCTTCAACCCAGATAGGACGAGGCCGAGGCGGAGTGGCAGTAAAGCGATTACAGAGAAGAGGCTTCAACAGGGATACATGGAAGACATTGGGAGATACGCATCCCAGGAGGAAGAGCAAGGGCATAGGCAACCGGGTTCACCCTGCAGAGGATGCGGAAAGGAGACAAAACGGGGAGCTAGTCTCGGTGCGGGCACCCGAAGATTGAGGTTACAAGTGGACAACCACACCCGATCTCCGACTTGGTATGAAGGAGCGGGCAACCATCTACGATCAGCCTGGAGCTCCTGGCGCTGTGCTGACTTCTTCAAGGACCTCTGGATCTGCCCCCACAAGGAACGCAGGGCAGCAAAAGATGGTTATCCACAGCCAGAATGTCCTGTGGCGAGAACAACTCAGGCAATACAGCGGGTTGGAACCCATAGTTGGCCATGAAGGGAGATATCCCGGAGGAGGAGTTGACAGCCGAGTTCCTCGTAAACTCTGCCCATGGCAGGAGATTGACCCAATTGTCTTAATGGTCTGATATATAGCAGTGAAGGAATTGTTCCAGGGCCTGGTTGGAAACGCTCTGCAGCCCCATTGGACTGCGGGTGGTAGGCCGAAGAGAAGGAGAGCTTGATTCCCAACCGGGAGCAGAAGGTGCGCCAGAACCTGGACACAAACTGGCTCCCACAGTCCGAGACAATCACCTTGGGCAACCCATGCAAGCGAAAGATCTCCCTGGCAAAAACCGTAGCCAGTTCTTGCGCAGTCGGCAATTTCTTGAACGGAACACAATGGCACATCTTGGAAAAACGATCAATGCCCATAAGAATGAACGTATGGCCTTGAGATGCAGGGAGGTCCACAATAAAATCCATGCCCAGGTGTGACCAGGGACGCTCCCCATTAGGAATGGGTTGCAGAAGGCCCAATGGAAGATGCCGAGGAGATTTATTCTGGGCACAGACCGAACATGCCGCTACATATGAGGTGATGTCGGAATGGAGAGATGGCCACCAGAATAACCAAGAAACAACCCAGGACAACTGGTTCCTCCCTGGATGACCGGCAGTCTTGGAATTATGGTAGGTACACAGCAAGCAGGGCACACAATCCCTCAGGTACGAAACATCTGCTAGCCGCTCTCTCAGGGGGAGCATCAGTTTGAGCCACCAAAATCTGCTCCCCAAGAAGAGAAGTCAGGTTGGTACGAATGGCATCCAGGATCTGGTCCGGAGGTACGACCGAGGTTGGCTCAGAGTCCTCCTTGGACAGCTCAGAGTATTGCCATGACAAGGCATCAGCCCTGACATTCTTGGAGCCAGGGAAATAGGAGACCACATAGTTAAAATGCGACAAGAACAGAGCCCATCTGGCCTGACGGGGCGTCAATGTCTTAGCCTCCGAGAGATACGTCAGGTTCTTGTGGTCAGTGAGAATGAGAACCGGAACCACAGAACCCTCGAGCAGGTGCCTCCATTCCTTGAGAGCCTGAATAATGGCCAACAACTCCCTGTCTCCAATCTGGTAGTTGCATTCTGCAGAGGAAAGCTTCCTGGAGTAGAACCCACAGGGAAGTAGGGGTCCATCGGGTGACCAACACTGAGACAAGAGGGCACCTACTCCCGTCTCAGATGCATCAACTTCGAGGACAAAAGGCAACCCAGGATTGGGATGAGACAGTATCGGAGCCGAAGTGAAGGTGGATTTCAGAGCTTCGAAAGCTAAGATGGCCTCGGGTGACCACTCGTGAGGATTACTGACCTTCTTTGTCAGATCTGAGAGAGGCTTGGCTAGTGTGGAGAAGTTCCTGATAAACTTCCGATAATAGTTGGCGAATCCCAAAAAGCGCTGAATAGACCGAAAACCACTGGGACGAGGCCACTGCAGAACCGCCGAAACCTTCTGAGGGTCCATGGAAAAACCCACAGCGGAAATGATGTAGCCCAAAAAGGCAACTCGGGATCGGTGAAATGAAATTCACACTCCTCGAGCTTACAGAAAAGCTCGTTCTCACGTAACTGTTGCAGCACCTGCTTAACATCCTGGATATGAGACTCCATACACGCAGAGTAAACCAGGATGTCGTCCAAGTAAACCACCACGCACTGCTGCAACAAGTCACGAAAGACATCATTAATGAACTCCTAAAAGACCGCGGGCGCATTACACAACCCGAAGGGCATAACCAGGGATTCATAGTGGCTGGTTCTGGTGTTGAACGGGGTCTTCCACTCGTCGCCCTCCTTGATCCATACGAGGTTGTACGCAGCTCTAAGGTCGAGTTTAGTAAAGACCGTTGCTCCCTTGAGGCGGTCAAAAAAACATGGTAATCAACGGGATTGGGTAAGCATTCTTAATCGTCATTCGATTAAGGCCCCTAAAATCAATGGCCTCAACTCACCGCCCTTCTTTTTCACGAAGAAAAAGCCAGCTCCTGCTGGAGAAGTAGACTTGCGAATGTGCCCCCCGAGAAAGCGCATCCGCAACGTACTCCTCCATAGTCTGATTCTCCGCAACCGAAAGAGGATACACCCTGCCATGCAGAGGAGTGGCACCGGGTTGTAAGGCTATGGCACAATCGTATGGACGATGAGGAGGCAGAGCACCGGCGCACACCTTGTCAAACACGTCCAGGTACTCCCCATATTCAGTGGGCAACACAGAGTCCGAGGAGGCACACAACACCTTAACAGGTCCACGGATGCAACCAGCCCCACACTGTGGAGACCATGAGAGAATCTCGGCCGACCGCCAATCAAAGGTCGGATTGTGCTTCTGAAGCCCAAAACCATGGAGTAGTGTGGGGAAGAAATTACCTGGAAACAGGCCAACTCGCTGTGAACAGCCCCAATAGCTACTTCAACCGGCAGGGTCTCGTGGGTAACCTGCGACGGTTGCAGGGGCCTGCAATCTATCGCCTCGAGGACCAATGGAGTAACTTGAGCTTGCAGAGGAATGGAGTACTGGGCAGCAAACGAACTGTCCATAAACAACCCGCTAGCACCAGAGTCTACCAACGCCTGGATCGTCACCGAGCCTTCCGCCCAAGAGAGGACAACGGTGATTAGCGGTTTATCTTTACAGGAAACCGGGGACGAGGAAACTCCACCCAAGATCTGCCCCCCACAGGATCTCAGGTGCGAGCGTTTCCCGGACGGACCGGACAGGAGTGCTGAAAATGCCCACCGAGACCACAGCACAGGCAGCGACCCTCCCGACGCCAAGAGGCCCGCTCCCCCTCGGAAAGGCGAGCAAACCCCAGCTGCATGGGCTCACCGCCAGACAAGCCATCCCCAGGAGGCATGGGAGGAAAGGGAGGCACGGGTGGGACAGAAAACATAGGCGCCAATCAGTTAGGAGGCCTCCGCAGACGCTCCTTAAATGAAGGCCTCTCTCTGAGCCTGGTGTCAATCAGGATTAGGAAGGAAATGAGTGCCTCAAGCTCCACAGGCAATTCTTTGGCTGAAATCTCGTCCTTCAATGCATCTGAGAGACCATGAGAGAAAGCAGCCACCAGAGCCTCATTGTTCCAACCCACCTCTGCCGCCAGGGTACGAAATTCTATGGCGTACTCGGCAACTGTTCATGAACCCTGATGCATGGACATGAGCAGCTTAGCAGCAGAGGGGGAGCGAGCAGGCACATCGAATACTGTATGGAAGGAGGCAACAAAACCGGCAAACTCGTGAATCACAGGGTTATCATTCTCCCATAAGGGATTTGCCCAGGCCAAGGCCCTGTCCGAGAGCAGCTAGATTAGGAAGCCCACCTTTGACCTCTCCGTAGGAAAAGCGTGGGGTATCAATTCAAAATATATGCCCACTTGGTTAAGGAAACCCCGATACTGACTCAGCTCCCCCCCAAAGCGCTGTGGAAGGGGGGCTGAACCAGTCATGCCTCTGGGCACCGCAGGTGAGGCAGCAGATGTGGAGGTAGGCGCAACAACCGGAGCAACAGCGGGAGCGACCACAGGAGTGACAACTGGCCTAATAGCACCAGGAGCAAGGTGCGCTGTGCGTGCAAGCAGGCAACGCCTGAGCGAACTGATCCAACAAGCGATCCTGCTGATCGAGTCTGGCAACCAACATAGGGAGCGAGGGCATACCTGCACCGTCAGGATTCATGGCATTCGTGTAGTGTCAGGGAGCAAGGAGCCAGACACACAAGGAGGTGCAATTAAAGCTATGTTTATTAATATAAATATAAGACAAGAGTCTATGCAAGTCCAACAGCGGAAATCGTAGCCAAAGCCGGATTCAAGAGCCAGGAAGAATCATCACCAGAGCCGGTATCAGGAGCCAGGAAGAATCGTCACCAGAGCCGGGATCAGGAGCCAGGAAGAATGGTCGCCAGAGCCGGGGTCAGAAGCCAGGAGGAGTCTTTGCCAAAGCCGAGTCGGTATCCAGGAAAGCAATGAATGGCTAAACAGGAGCTTGTTGCTGTGCAAGAGACAGGACACAAATGCAATGAGCAGCTGCAGACAGCAGGCTTAAATGTGATAAGCCACCACCTCCTGGAGGAGGTGCCGCAGAGAGCTGAAAGCATAAAGGATCCCACAATGCTTTGCAGACACCTAAGATGGATGCCAGCACATGGAGCAGCACAAGCCCTGAGGAAAGGTAGGACCTTGACAGAAACACACAAACCACAAAACAGTTTTGAGGATTTGAGTCATGGTGCTCATGCAAAATCTATCTCAGTTGGTGGCTGAACAGTAAAGTTGACCATAGACAGTTCAAATCTCATTTGTTCAGCGAGGAACGGCTGAGATTTGAACCATGTATAGGCAGGCTGAATGTACCCAGGTTGATTGATTGATCTAATTGATTTTACATGCAATTATTGCTAGTGGCTAATATAGCTGCTAAAAGTAATCACTGTGTTATCAGGACACTGTGTGTTCTCACTGGGAGAACACAATAGCTCTGCTGGAGGGATTCCCCCATCAACACTGACCAGTGGTTGCAGAAAAGAAAATCGCTCCATCTGTGGCCAGCTTAAGACAGATTAATACATAAAATTTCCTCAAAAAAGCCATTAGCACAATGGGCCATAGCCCATTTACTGTGGTATGTGTGACGGACGCGGGATCGCTGCCACCAATATGCGACAATCCCACGATCGCTGTCACCAATATGTGACAAACGTGGCGTCAGACCCCAGCCCTTCTCACCAAACATGTGACCGAAGGACTAGCCAATCTAAAACCGCGATGTCACGTGCATAACAATGCCACACCCAGCTGCACCCTGCACAACGATTTTCCAGCTAATTGGACCACAAACTATGTATCGGCAGCCTGAGCGATTGTTACTGGTTCAGGTTAATTATGCAATTAACCCTTCACACTGCCACCACCTCCCTTTTGTACAGAGAAAGAGGAAACTCGGCGATATCAGCTATACCACTATAATGGTTGAGGTAATCATCTGTATAACACGGTCACCGCAGGCCGGTTATACAGAGGGTTAAACAAACACAGTAGCACTCTTTTTAGAGGCAGGAATTCGTAAATTGCAATAAAGAGCTATAGAAACAGTTCAACACTTTCAGAAGGAAAGATTTATTACTAAAAGGTCAAAAAGGGTGCAATTAAAAATATTTACAGGAAAAAGATATAACCAATATATATATAGATATACAGAGAGCAACAGCACAGCAAAGAGATAACAGAAAGGAGGTTAAAGGGTTAGTTTTAGGTTAATCAGCCTTGAGTTTATCAGCCTTGGGTTTGCAGAGAAGTTTCAAGAGCAGAAGGGTGCTTTGATCTCCCTCTGTTTCGATGGTCAGTGGTAGAATTCTTCAACTTAACTCTCTTAGGCCTGACAGTCCATTTTGTAGTTCCCCAGTAGGGGGTGTCTCTGAAGTCAAAGACCAATACCCCGTTTAGGGCGTGGAGGTCTGGGCGTAGCCCAAACTAGAGCCTAAATCTCGTTTAGTTCATATTTTGGCTCATAACTTTTCCTATGCACAAGTGACACTCCACCCGCAGGTAGATTATTATGCAGACATGTCTGAGGATTGATTAGATATGAAATATGAAATTATACACTGAACGGTTCACGAGATCTACTTTTCAGGCTTTCCTATGTATTTGAGACAAGATGAGTGACCTATCAAACTGTTCGCCTCCTCTTGGCCAATCTGACGATATGCCTGGTTTTTATGTAAGTCTCTCATATTCCAAAATATGAGACCATAGGGGAAAAATTGATTTTTAAAAAGGTTATCTGGTGTGCTT